GGCATGTGAGGACGGCATTTGTGTTTCCAATCGCTTTCCAGAGAGGGAGAGAGAGAGAGAGAGAGAGAGAGAGAGAGAGAGGGGGAGAGAGAGAGAGAGAGAAAGAGAGAGCGACAGAGCGCGAGAGAGAGGGAGAGAGAGCGAGCGAGCGAGAGGGAGGGGGAGAGGGAGAGGCACAGGGAGAGGGAGGGGGAGCAAGAAGGAGCAAGAGGGAGCGAGAGAGAGCAAGAGAGAGAGAGCAAGAGGGAGCAAGAGAGAGCAAGAGGGAGGGAGCAAGAGAGAGAGAAGAGCGAGAATGAATGAATGAATGAATGAATGAATGAATGAATGAATGAATGAATGAATTAATGAATGAATGAATGAATTAATGAGTGAATGAATTAATGATGGAATGGAATGGAATGGAATGGAATGGAATGGAATGGAATGGAATGGAATGGAATGGAATGGAATGGAATGAACGAATGGATGACTGAATGACTGAATGAATGAGTGAGTGAATGCATGAATGAATGAATGAATGAATGAATGAATGAATGAATGAATGAATGAATGAATGAGTCTAACTGACTGACTGAATGAATGCATGAATGATTGAATTAATTGTGTTTAGGCCGGGACATATGTGTCATGCAGCGAGATTGCTTGCAGTACCGTGAGGTAGCCATTGTCGTCAATTCGGTCTGGCATGTTCCATCGATAGTGGCAAACATTGTGGAGTATGGCACGGATTGCCGCGTGGAGCTTGGTTGCGTGCTTTAGGAATCATGCTGGGATGCCGACGAAGTATCCCTTGACTGTCTTGAAGAAACTACGGATATTTGAAAGCAACGACTGGAGCTTGCAGGACATGCAGGACCAGCCAAGGACTGTTTCCTGTGGTGCCTCAATGGCAGCTTCAGAAAAACCAGGATGCAAATGAACTTCTCCGGTGAAGGAGAAGTTGGTCGCATCCTTGTTTGGAGGCCAGAGGGGCAGAGGGGCAGCACACCAAGCTGCTCCTGGCCACTGGAGCACCAGGAGAAGGAGCTGCGCGTGGTTTGGTCGCCCTGGAGGATCGGATCTGATCAGGCGGCGGCCAGCTCCATCTTAAGCCCACCCGGGCCAGCGCTGCATGCTGGAAGAGACGCGGCTTCAGAAGGATCGGCAAGAACAGAAGACCTTGCCGTAGGCACTCTTTGATGCGATCTGTTAGATGCGTTCGCAGCGCACGCAGCCGCGCATAAAGGAGGCTGTGTACTTTGCAGCGTATTCGGGGCTGCTGCTGCCGCCGCTGCTTCTACTGCTGCTGCCGCTGCTTCTGCCGCCGCTGCTGCTGCCGCCGCTTCTTCTACTGTTGCTGCTACTGCTGCTGCCGCTGCTGCTGTGCTGCCGCTTCTGCTGCTTTCACTGCTTCTGCTGCGGTGCTGCTGCTGCTACCGCTGCTATACATCTGCTTCCACTGCTGTTGCCGATGCCGCTGCTACTGGTGGTGCTCAGGGAAAGAGAGACAGAGAGAAAGAGAGAGACCGAGAGACTGAGACAGGTGGTCGGGCGGGCCGAAGGCCTGAGAGTCCCCTGTGGACCCCCAAGCCCGGAAAAAAAGAAAGAAAGAGACTGAGGCTGAGACTGATCATGCATTCACATATATTGGGGCGAAGCCGGTGAAGCCAGACTTCCATATGAGGGCTCCAGCCACTGGCGCTGATCTTGACATACGGCTCGACGAACACGCTCCCTGGATGCTGCAGTTGTTCCGGTTCGGTTTTGTTCGCACTTCGATTTGTTTGGCTTGCGCTATGGGGCATTACATTGAGGATTTTCATGCGGTCGAAGCGTTTCTTTTTGCTTGCTTGGTTTTTTTGATGACTCGCCCATGTGTTGTCCGAATCTACGACTTGGGACTTGTGCCTGAGAGGCATAGGAGCTGCAAGGCGTTTGATTATGTGATGGTGGTAGGATTCACGATCACCATCATAAGGGCAGGGCAGCCAGAGATATCACGCCCTTGTGATCAAAACACCCCTAACCCTAGCCCCAAACCTCATAGTAGTCTTCTGCCGACATCGGCATGTGCTGCAGGTCTGGAACCGACGATGTGGCCTCCTTTAAGCAGCTGGCCGAGGTGATCTGGCAGTGTTGGTTATGACGTACTCTGAGGGTTCCGGAAACTCAGTCGTTTAGGGTTTGGGGTTCCGGTCAGCCTCAGGGTTGAGGCGTCAGGGCTACAGTGGAAAGAGGGCGAAACGTCACCAGCAGCGCTGTGTCTGACAAAGCAAGAGCTACGTGTAGTAGCCCAAAGCCCTCCTAGAGTTTAAATTGCCTTCATAGATAGACAGAACCCCCCTCCTAAATTCCTTACAGGACCCGTAAACTACAGGAACCTTCATATTAATCTTACAAGCCGACCTTAAAGCCCCTGAGGCCCTAAGGGGGGCCGTACAGGGAACCATTCAAGAAACCGCCTAAAGATCCCTTAAAAGGAGCCCTCTGCAGATTCTTTTCTGGTTCCTAAATGGAGCCTAAACCCTAAACCCTTAACCCTAAACCCTAAGCCCTAAACCTTAAACCCTAAACCCTAAACACTTAAGGAAACTCTAACTGCAGGAGGAGAAGCTCTGGGTGCACGTCGACGCTGCCTACGCCGGTGCAGCCTGGTCGCTGGAGGAGCTGATTCGTGTAGGGTTAGGGTTTAGGGTTTAGGGTTTAGGGTTTAGGGCCGTAAGAATTACTTGTAGAAAAGAGTTTCTTTCAGGGTTGTTTTAAAAGAGCTAATACATGGGTTAAATGCGGTAATGGTTTTATATAAGGAATATAGGGACCTTAGGAACTGGAATAGGGTTCCTTCAAAGGGATTCGTAGGGTTTGGTTTAAGCGGTCTTTAAAAGGCATTACGTTTGCACACGGCTTGGGAATGAAGTTGTACTATTAATTGCTGAAGGTAAAGCTGACGCTTTGGCTGCCAAATAAATGCTAGGTGGCACTTTGGGAGAGAGTTAACGATTTCCCTAATGATTCCTATAGAGGTGCCTATTCAGAAGGGCCCTAACACTACAACCCAGAGTCAGAGTCGTATACTTAAAGGATCATGGGACTTAGTAAGTAGGATTATAACTAGGGTAACTATACTTATAACACCCATTTAAGGGAATTATAACCTTACGTACTAAGTCCCATGATCCTCCAAGTACCCTAAACCCTAAACCCTAAACCCTAAAGTTTGTTCAAGTTGGAAGCCACGGGCCGGTATTTCCATCGAAAATTGGACGAAGATGGCTAAACTCAGGGCCATGGTGGTTTTAGAGGTGTTTAGGGCTTCGGATTTCATGTAGTGGTCCATGAAAGCTGAAAGTATATACAACAATAGCAAAAAAAAGCTTTCATGTCATATATGCCCATGGGAGCAACCACAGAACGGAAATTCCTAAAAGTGTCGGCTGACGTATAGACCGCCGATCCCTGCCCCCGATCTGCCGCACAGGAGTTTCGAAAGGATGCGTGACTCCGCATCAAAGCCGGGGTGAACCCAGCTACGTTTGAGAGCTTTGGGCTCCGGGGTCGAGAAAGCCTTAAACCCTAGAGGCCATCATGCCTAAACCCTTGAACCCTGAGTTCAGTTGGGGATGCAGTCCCTGTCCAAGTATGTGTTCACAAGATGCTCATGTGGAGATCTTCTCAAGGAAATTCGGAAACCTGAATTGCGTGGGGGCTTTCTTCAGAAGGGTAACCTTGGGATCCATGCTCGGGTCGCTGATGTTCTCACAATCTTGGAAAGGGAAGGATCTTTAGTCGTGCAAAAGCCTGCCAAGGTTGGGCTTATGCGTAAGCCTACCTGCAAAAGGCTGAGTTTCATGAGACTTATGTTCAAACAAACGTCAACCGCCCATGACTCCATGATATGACCCTGCTAAGTGTGGGCCTCTGTTCGGGGTCCCGGCTTCGGCGTGTCGTCCGAAGACTTCCGATGGGAAGTCGCTCTAGTCTTTTGAGGCTTAGTTCCAACTTCAGGACGACAAAGGCCGAATGGTCTTGGGCGCAGTCGGCAGGAATGCTAGATGTCCTATTTCGTAGGGCCCTGCTGCCCAAACGGGCACACATCCCAGAAGATGCAAGCGTAAACCCCAAATCAGCAGACCCTCGGCCCTGGACCCTACACCCTATAACCCTTAACCCCTATACGCCTTAAACTGTCCCTAAACCCGTTCGCGGATTTCAATCTGGTACAGTAATCCTTGCAGTTTCCCTTGTAGTAACCCTTACAGAAACTTTTACATTCACTTGTGTAGAAACCGTAATAGTAAGCCTCGTAGCAGCCCTCCTGGTAACTCCTTATGGTAGGCCTCTCTTGCCTGCCTTAGCTGAGGCAGGCAGTCAGCGATGTTGCGACTTCCGTGCCGCTGGTGCTGAGTTCTTGGTTTTAGGATGTACAGCATTTGAGTGTTCACAGGACTTAGGAAGTTGGTAAGGGTTTAGGAGTTTACATGTTTCGGGGTTGCAGCTCGAAGTCTTGGGATCTCTCGAGATATGACCCGAAGCTGTGTAGTGTCAGCACTGCAAGCAGGACAGTAGGAACGCCTTCTGGTTTGAAGCGAGAGTGGCACGGGCCATCCCAGGGTTTGGGGTTTAGGACTTGTGGGTTTCACGTCCTTTGATGTTCCCTCAAGGTGCAGACCCCAGAGCCCACGATGCAACAAAAACGCTGCGGAAGAACTGAACGTGCCAAAGCCTTGAAGCCTAAGCTTCAGAAGGCAAAGTTATGCAATTAAATTCCATACATGGACATATGCAGCAGTTGCATGTGTATGTGTGTATGTATGTAT